GAATTAGGATGTCGGAAGTGAAAGAAGCTTTGAAAATGATGAAGATAGGAAAGGCTTTAGAATCGAATGGTATCTCGATAGAGGTTTGGAAGTGCACAGGGGAGATTGGCATTAACTGGTTGATGAAGCAATTCAACAAGGTTTTGAGAAAAAAGAAAATGCCAGACGAATGGAGGAAAAGTATTGTGGTTCCTATTTACAAGATAAATGCGACATACAATACTGCGAACTATCGAGGGTATAAGCTTATAAGCCATACTTTAAGCTCTAGGGAAGAGTGATTGAGCAATGACTAAGGCATGAAACGAGTGTATCTAAAAACCAATTTGATTTTATGTCAAAAATGTCAACAACCGAGGCTATCTTCCTACTTGAGAAACTGATTGAGAAGTTTAAGATGAAGAAAAAACACCTCTACATGGTTTGTATTGATTTAGAAAAAGCTTATGAAAGAGTACCTCGAGATTTGATTTTGAGGGTGTTGGAAAAGAAAAGGGTCTCCAGACACTACATCGACTTTGTGAGAGATATGTACGACGGAGTACTAACTAGTATACAAACAACTCGTGGAGAAACGAGTAAGTTTTCAATGATAATAGGTCTACATCAAGGCAGCATTGAACCCGTACCTTTTTGTCATAATTATGAACAACTTAACTAGGTACCTACAAGATGAGGTACCATGGTGCACGTTGTCCGCATATGACATAATTTTAATCGATGAGATCCGAAACAACCTTAACACAAAGAACTTTTGAGGGATGCTCTAAAATCCAAAGATTTTAAAATTAGTCGGACTAAGACAAAGTATATGTAATGCAAGTTTAATACTAATAGGAGCAGAAATAAGGAAGTAGTTAAGATTGACAGTTAGGAAGTACAAAAAAGACCGCACTTTTGATACCTTGGGTCGATAATCCAAGAAAATAGAGAGATTCAGGAAGACATCGCACACAAAAATTTAGAGCTAGGTGAGTAAAGTGGAGATGTGCAATTGGAATTTTATGTGATCGCCGCATACCAAAAAAACTGAAGGGCAATGATTATAGGATAGCTGTGAGACTAGCTTTGCTTTATGAGGCTGAATGTTGAGCAGACAAAAAAAATATAACCACAAAATGAGTGTAACGGAGATGAGGATATTGAGATGCATGAGTGGCAAGACAAGAAGGGATAAATTCAAAATGAATTCATTCAGGAGAATTTAAGTGTGATACTAATAGGCAAAAAGATGACAGAGAGAGTAGACTTAGGTGGGATAGTCAAGTATGGCGCCGACCAAATACAACACATAGGAAGTGCGAGCTACTTCAAGTGGAAGGACTTAAAAGGGCAAAGAAGCGTAAAAAGACATGGTTGAAAGTGGTTCAAAAATATATAGGGATTTATGGCATCACTGAGGGTATGGCGTTTAATAAAGCAGAATGGCAAACCAGGATTCGTGTAGCCGACTCCCATTAATTGGGAAAAGACTATGGTGGTGATGATGACAAGCTATGCTCTACCTTGAGCAAATCACACAATTAAATAAAATAACATAACAGTAAAAGCAAGAGTAAGCAAGATAACGTATAACTATCAACAGAGAAATGCATGAAGGATAGAAATGGTTTTAGTTCTAAAACACTTGAAAAATTGCAACAATAGAAGAAGAGTACAAAAGGAAACAAGGATGAAATGATAATGGAGATCAGTAAGGCCACAGGGAAGACAATTGAAATGTTCAAAAAGAACAAATCGAAGGCAAGCTACAAATAAGGAAGATGTAAAGGCTTGATTTTGACTTTTGGGCTAAGAAGTTTTTCTTTTGACCTATAAAAATAAAAATTCTCTCTTTTTTTTGTCCTTGTACTTTCTTCCTATATTGGACGGGCCATTTTTTTGCTTAAAGTTTTTTGTAACTGCTATTTTCTATTCTCCTTTCCATTTTGAGAACAAAGGAGTATTGGTTGTTCAAGTTTAATTTCAATAGTCTGCTATGCTTTCTTAAATAATTCTTCAATTATATATCAAGTTATCATTTGCTTTGAAGCTTATAATTCCTAGTGAAAGATCTCAGGGGAATTGATCAATTTATCTGTCATCTACAAATTCATTTATGGTATAAACTTTTTCTTATTTATTTAATTTGCAATTGTGTTAGGACATAGGCATCCATGTTTACATCAAATACAGTCACAGATAATGCGTCCCATACATTATAAAATTGCCATGCCAGAGAAAAAACATCTTATAGTAAGGACATCAAAATGTTCACACATTGGATACTTAATGTGCATGAGTGAAGAAATCGTCCAACCATATACCAATGAGTGTATAATGATATACTAAATAGATTTCCTGAAAATAAAAAACGTCCAAAAATGGGAAATGCAGAGTCCAGATTTCAGATAGCAATCTCCAAAGTTCTGGACATGTGTAAAAAGTTTGATGTGAATGCGGAACTTCCTGCCAAGTGTTTAGACCTTGGACATATACTTGAATCATATACTTGAAAAGTAAAGACGCCCAACATGCCATTTCCCACTTGTTAGACACAACAATTCAAGACATGCCATATGATACTTCCCGTATGTGTTAACACACACGTCTAAAGAGTCAACATACATGCCAAACATAAGTGTTGGGTTAGACACTCCCAAATGTGTCAAACATGCATGCTTTTCTTGCATAGATTTGAAAGAGATACTCAGTGTTGGGTCACATTACACACTCAAACATACATACTCACAGTGAAAGGATATGTGGCACTTAATCTACACTCTAGACTTGATTTAGGTATAGGAAAGGGCTGCTTGCAACAGCCAAAACAATACATTGATCTTGATGTTCCCATTACTTGCCTGTGAGACCATGTAAATAATGGATTATACACTTCAATGGGAGTGTATGTGTTAGGTGATGGACCTCAGGTTAGGCGGTCTATGGCTCTTGTAACATCTAAAACCATTTTCCCCTAGGCATATGGCACTACCTTAGAGGGTTTTTCAGAAAGTCATCCATTATTGAGGTTGGAGAGATATCCAAGGATGGTTTATAAGCCAAGAAAGCCTCATGGTCTCCTATATGCGGATGTAGGCCTATAAGAAGGATCATTAAATCCGCAACAAACGTCTGCACAACATGTACATATGACAGCAACTGACAGACTGAGAAACAACAATGCGAAGGGATACACATACATGTGCATAGAGAGACCCCTTTACACTATAGTGAGATTTGCGTGTCTTGATCTTAAGGGGGGAACCTATAATCCATATTGTAGGACTATAGTTTCACTATTTATTGTCCAGTTTTGACGGGCTAATCATGAACCCCGGCAAGAGGTTGTGGGTCATAGGTTTTGCTTGGTTGGTTTGAGATAATAGTCAAGGACGACAGTTACTGAGTCAGGTGGTACCACTTCTAGGAATTTTGTTCTTAGTCATAGAAATATGTGATTTTTAGTAATTTTTAAGAATTTTTTAAATTTTTTCTTTGAAATAGTAGAATTTTTTTTAAAAAAAATTCAACCACAAAAACCCTTAAAAGGACATTTTAGGAATTTCTGTGCAGTGGAGGGGCTAATTTGTACACATGTGTGGCCCTTGGATCCAATCCCACATGTGCGACACCCACTTGGGCAGGGCATGGAGCCCATGGGTCCACATCTCACACATGGAGGTGGGACACCCGCTTCCATTCTTCTTGTTTTGTTTTCTTTGTTTTTGAAAATATCCTTCGTATATTTGACCAAATATTTTATCTTTTTGGCTTCTAACAATTTGTGAGAAATAAGGGAAGATCTAGAAATTTATTTTTTATTAGTCTCGTCCTAGGTTAACTAGAAGTGGATATGGTTCAAAGATTCAAGGGATAAGGTTCTTAGATTCTCCCTAAATCATGTTGGGCTCATTTATTGGATGGATGGCTCATCCAAACACCCCTTTTCATTCTTCACAAGTCATTCTAGTCTCTCTCTCTCTCTCTTCCACACCCCTCTATGTTGGTCTCTCTCTTCTCTAGTCACCAAAGAGTGGCACATGCCACCCTAGGCCACTAGGGGTGGCACGCCATCCAAAGATGTCAAAGAGGGGCACACCTAGCCCATACACTAAGGGAGGTGCCATTTGTGATATGCCCTAGAGTGGTCCAAAAGGGGTCTAAGAAGTCTTGATCTTGTTTATGCTCTCAAACCCTAGATTTAAAAGGTGTTGCCTAATAAAGCAATCAGACTTAGGAAACTCAGCTGGGCCAATAAGATTACAGTGTGCCATCAGTAGCAATTAGGTGTGGGGCATAGTAAACCCTATGAGGTGACCCTAGGAAAATTAAAGTAAGTCTTCCGGGTTGGTTGATTTTATTTTCAATCATTATTTGCTTATATATTTGAATTTGGCAGAACATTATTTTTTATAAAATTTCTAGTTAAAGATTGATTTCCAATCCTTGTTTGTACCTATTCTATTTGGCAATAAAATGAGATCATATATTGTATTTAGGATTTTATTTCTAGTTTACAACAGCATTTTGTGGCATTCGTAAGTGGAATTCAAATACGTTAATAAAAGAAAACAGAAATTTTTTTTGTTTTACTCTCTTAAATTCCACATAGCCACGTCTTGCAACATCTTGATTTACAGAACAAACTCTACAGAGATATGCAAGGGTTGCAGCATGAAACAGCCATAACAGAACAGGACCCCTAAGAGCTTGGAAAAAACAGAGCCCTTGAAAGCTATGACGTGCAAATACTTCAAAATGGGTGTCCTATCAGTGTCAGATGCTTCAAAAACATTGGCAGATCCTCAAATATTATATTGTAGCCAGTTATGCACCCTTATCCATGTATTATAGCTCAGGTTGAAGACATTAATACTTAGTTGGAATAGACTGCATAATACATCCTCAGATACAGTCAACATTCCAGATGCCCAATTTTCTAAATATTATGTGAGATACCTAGTATCCTATCAAAACCATTCTTACGAGGAAACATGAATGAAATTCAAAATATTTACCTTGCATAAGTAGTGCATTAACGTCATTTTATTGTTTATTGCACGAGTGTCTGACAATTTTAGAAGACTGTCAAGTTTGAAGCCAATAGCTGATCCTGTAAAGATAGAATTGGAAGCTTATTATATATCATTTCGGAATTGCTTTTTCCATTGGCATCACTTCCAAATTTCTTGCACGTACAGACCAAAAGAATTACCTCTAGCTGTTCCCTGATTCAACGCATTTACTAGAGAAAGAATGGTCTGCATGACTCTTCTCAGTTTCAAAGAATCTTTTACCTAAAACATAATATTTAGGAAAAAATCATGAGAAAAAATACCAAATCTCAAAAACACATCAAACCCATTTAAGAGGGAGGACAGGCATACCTCTCTAGAAGCATTGTTGATTGTATTTAAGTTGGCACGCAATTCCTTAACTTGAAAAAGTATTGATTTTATGAATAATACAGAAACATAGATAAAAAAATTAAATGTAGATCACAAAGTACAACCTAAGAGGAAACACAGTTCATAAGAAACAAGTAGAAATTGGGAACATCATCCCCAGATTCTGAACTTAATCCACATCAAAACAGTAGCATCACCATAACCCTGCCAATGCTTTTTATTCTCATGGAACCCCACATGTGAGTAAAGAGGATTATTTGGGACAAAAATACCCCTCAATGCCCATTTCCCCTGGTTATATCCTTTCCCATTGATCTCCTCCCCCCCTCCTTTTTTTCCTCTCTCCCTCTCTCTCAAACACAACCAAGTCCGAACCCTTTGCAGAAAGAAAGAGATAATTGGAGCTCCACATCAAGAGCTAAAGAGTAAAGAAGAAATCCGGCAAAATCATAAAATTGTTAGAGAGAAACTTTGCATTCTCCACAGTTAGTTAACGACAGAGGGCATTCACCACTTCTTCTCAGATAAAGAGAGTTTTCATCCTTCATAACTCCTTAGAAAGAGAGAGCCTCATTCTCCAGCTAGTTAAAGAGAGGGAGCCTCATTCGCCAGAAGCCTGCAACTTCACATCACCAATTTTAGAGAGAGAAAAAGGACCCCAGAGTTAGTGCCCAGTAGAACCTGAAGCACACATCCATGGAAACCGTGTTTGAGTTCCAAAATGAGTATCAATGGTCCAAATTTGGACCTGAGAACCTCCTTGCAAGTGTAATGGAACTGCTAGCCCCCACTTTAGAGGAGGAAATGTGTGCATGGAAGACAAACTGAGTGGGCTCCAGAGACAAATTATTTGCCAAGAAAGAGCCCACTCATTGCCAACGAAGGAGGGATAATCGGTGAAGAGGGATGGGAGATGCATGGTTGGCTGGAACCAATGATGGATGAGGCAAGCATGAATGAGGAGTCTGAGCAGGTGTGGTATCCAGCCTGACATTTGTTATGGTGACAATAAAGGGCTGAGTCTGTTGCACCTGCTGTTTGTGGTGGCTGAGTGCTGAAGGGCTGCGAAAAGCAAGGACTTGGCCTTGGAGATATTGGTTCAGCTCAAGCAGTTGGTCTCACCAGCCCAAGGCAGCAACAATGCTGACCACCTTCACCACGGGAGATGAAGGTTCTTGGTGGCATATGCTATAGAAAGAGAAGGGGCTGAGGCAATAAGACATTCTTCAAGGAGAGATAGGGGAACTCATCGTAGAGAAATTTCAATTGGGAGAGAAAAACAGGGTAAAGAGAGAAAGTTGGTGGTGGATGTATGAGTTTGAGAGAGACCGAGAGAGAAAGGGAAGGCAGGTCGGTAGGAAGATATGATTAGAGATATTTTTGTCCACATTAGTTCTATTTTATCAAATGGGGGCTCCATGAGAAAAAAAAAATCTTTAAGGTAATTGGTGATACCGGCTTTGCAAATGGGGGTTTGATGTAGAATAACTTTAAAAAGGGGATAGTGTTCTTTCCCCAAGAAAATAACTGCCAAGTTTCCAGCACAATATACCTGAGTTGAGAAAGTGATCCGGAAGGAGAACACTCTTAACTTTGACTCCACTCTAGGAACCTTCATTAGCTCAAGAAAAAACTGAAAGATCCATATACAATAAGCACATAGCCAGCACCACAGATAATATACACTTCTCAATCGGAGTATGAGAAATCTACCTGTTTGCATCGCCCAAGCATTTCCTCGTCACCATTATAATTCTACAACACAAGGAGTAATACCAGTTAGCATATTATAAAATGCAAAATGATCTGACTCAAGGTGATTCACTCTTATACTCTTGACAGAGACAGGTACAGTTCAATGAACAATAACTTCCAACTTAATGTAATGGGAATGCACAAAAGTTTAACTCCTATAAAGAGAGAGAAACAATTCAGTATGCCTTCAAGATGAACTCTAGCTCAATGCTTTAGGATGAGCAGTGCTAAAATAGGAACATATTAAATCATGTAAAAAATATAGTATCAGAAGATCATTTGAGAATCAGAATAAATTGCATGAGACAACAAGATAAAAAGTAACACTTTCAGGACCCCAGAATAAAGGGAAGCATGAGCAACAATTCATAAATCATCAAATAGAGCACATTGCAGAAAAATGCACACACCATAAAGAACAATGAACAATTCATCGCAACATTACTTACATGTATGCAAAAACCACCGCAGCTAAAGTATCAATGGGGAAGCACACTTGAATTCCATACCCAATAAATCTGCCAAAGGGAAAGGAAAAAAAAAAAGAAAGAAATCTTAGCTGGAATCATGCTCAGCACATCCACAAGCCCAAAATACACATAAATCTACCAAAAGCATCTAAAAGATAACGTCACCCACACTTAACAAGAGATCCACTTATTACTACATAATTATAAAATACAATGCTAATAAATTGCAACACAATTCACTGAGGTGCAGAACTTTCTTTCCATTCACCTACTAACTCAAACATACTCGTAACTCATTTCAAAATGTGTTACCTTCCAAGACACCATCGAACAAATTGCTTCATATACTCAGTACTGTCAAGAAACAATATGATTAATTACCCATAGAGATGCACCGTCATAACCAAGTTGCAAAAAATATTTTTCAAATCCTATGTCTTCATGTGCGGACCAAGTATACAGAGGCAGACTCCCACATTGTTAGAGAGAAAGTGACCAATGCAAATCAGAATTCGCTTTCATTCAACTCCTAACTTAAGACATACTCCTAACTCATCTCAAAATGTGTTACCTTCCAAGAAACCACCCAACAAATTTCTACTTATACTTTGTAATATCAAGAAATAATGGGCTGAATTACCCCACAGAGATGCACTGTCATAAAACACATTGCCATAAATATGTTTTCAAATCTCATGTTTTCAGGATTGGACCAAAAAAGTGGCAGACTGCCACATTGTTTGGGAGAAAGTGACCGCCATAGTGATTTACAAACCTCATGTTTTAAGGACAGACCAGTCACGAAAATGTCTTTCAGCAATGTTCACTTGGTCAAACCATTCCTCAACCACATTCTCTCTGAAATAGATTGGTTCTTGGTTTATAGCAGTATTGATAAGAATTATAAAATTAGAGGGAATTTAGATTCAAAATGAAGAGGAAATATCCAATCCACCATCTTGTTTTGAATGTTACATTCAATGTGTTACAAGAAAAGCATCACATAAAGGAAAAACATATAAGTTGTCATCCTTATGGAAAATTGTCTCATGCGGGCTGGACCGCATTGCTACATGTGCCATCAAAAAAGTGTAAAGCACCCATCTTAAAGATGGATGCAGGTAGGTGTTCTTCTAAAAACAATGGAAACAAACGGTCCAAATGTTTTCTTACTAAACGGCGTCCAAATTATTATTTTTAGGTTTTAAAATTTATTTATTTTTTCATATTCATGATCCCCATGTTAAAGATTACATGTCCTTAAAAATTAAGTCCAAAAATCTATCTCAAAAATAGGGTCCGCATTTCTACATATGCGGGCTTGGCCGCATAGAAACCGGGTCCCAACCTTGTACTATAGAAGTAAGGTGCATCTTAAAAATCTACTTAAAAAATTGTTCCGATGTCAAAATCCTTCGATTAATCATCTTGACCAAGAGACATATAGATATAGAAAAAAAATTGATTTCAAGTCCTAAAAGACATTGTGCATCTTATAACACATGATCTAGATTGTTCATTTTCAAGTACATAATAAAGATTTGCTGAATTTGCACCATATTTGGAGCTTTTAATTTCATAATTAAGGGCAAAATAGATTTTTTAGCCATTGTAAGGGTTCTAAGACCAAAATAACTTTTCCAGGTTGACTTTTTGGGTGCACCTTCTATAGTATAAGATTG